AGATGAGAGCTGGCACCATAAGCCCCGGAACTTGGAGTGGCGAACCACATAAGGCCCCTCTAGGTTAGATGTTACTGGACGGGACGTGATATTACCTTGCTCGTGGCAACGCACCGGCGATTCAAACCACGCTGAATCGTTTGGCAATTGAGGTTGCTCGTTAGGGTATCCTTCGCACCTTCGAAATGCAAGGTGTTGTTTCAGGAAAGGTTCTTGCACTTTTGGTGAGTAAGCACATTCTGGATGTAGTCGAAAGCTTCGTCTACCTAGGAAGTTGCGTAACGTCTGGCTGTTGTGAGTGAAATCTCTGAACGTATAACCAATGCTAGATTAGCGTTTGCTAATTTGCGGCATCTCTTGCTCCGGTGCGGCATATCCGTTTCAGAGAAAGGATGTGTATTGCGCAACGGTAAACACCGTGTTGCTCTATGGCTGCGAAACGGTTTTTCCGAGCAGATCACGTCCCACAACTATTCGTCTTCTACAACCGTGTGCGCAAAATAGTCCGCGTATGGTGGGAGCACCGCGTGAATAACAATGAGGTCGGACGTGGGTTAGGTTCAGATAGTCTTTCACTGAGCAAAACAATTTCACTACATCGTCTGAGGTAGCTAGTGCACGTCCTACGAATGCCTGAACAACGTCTGCCCTACCGTGCGCTATTTTTGTATACATCAGTCCGGACTGGAAGAAACAATGAGGCGGGCAGGTCATGACGTAGTGCAGAGGGTGAGCAGATTGTGCTCGTGTTTGGCTTCTATCGGGACTCCCCAGTTAAGCCCCCATAGATTCGGATTGTCTTTGACTTGAGACACTACAGGGTATGGGATCAATCCGAATGCCACCCATTTAGTACTGCATCCCCAAAGTGAAACACGAGAAAGGCATAATTGCGTAGAGTAAATATGCGAAAATTTGTCATCCTCATAATTGAATGTTGTTTTTTCCCTTGTTCTGTTTTCGCTATATATATATATATATATGGATATACGACGGAGACTCATGCTTTGCTGATGATTGACATTGAAGTTATCCAGCAGTGGTTCGCGCAATCATTGCGAGATCCTACTATAAAAACTGAGCAATCGGTGATTCGCCCCAATATGATGGAATACACTCCTGCAATCAATGTTTATAGTTCGGCTCAGTTTTGACAACCATTTACCTTTTTCCAACCGCCTGCTGCCTCGGCAAATATCGCGCACTGTGGCAAGCTTTTTGGTGGCATGCGCAGTGCATGTGCCAACCAGCGTAGTCTTTTTTTATTACACACTTAAGTGTGATGAACAGCAGACGGGGTGAACCCCATAGTCACGAGGACCTGCTGTTCAGTGGTGGAAACCAGCAACATATGCCCCAGGACTTGGAGTGGCGAACCACACAAGGCCTTGATAGGTTCGACCACTTTTTCCAGTGGACGATCGCGGTTAACTAAGACTCTACACCTAACCTCAGCATTGCTCGTTCGGTTGTCCCACCAGACTCGTTCAATGTGATGTAGACAGTGGTGTTCAAAACATCGACAATCTATCTTTTTCCTGTTTCCGTAACAACCAAGTCTCTGCATCATAAAACAGGACTGGCCAAACTGCTGCAGCATATACTTGACCCTTCACAAGCAGCTGGATTTCGCGACGACACTACAGATGTCTCAAGTTGTCATGCTACTCGAGCCTTCTATATGTGCGTCGACACTTCATCCGTGATGCGTCTGGCGGGTGGTATGGATGCCCAAATGACAAAAGTTGTCTATTTCTTCTACTGCTTCCGCGTTAGTGAGGCTAAGGGGCACTAGGAGTGTACGGGATCAAATGCCCTCTAATTTTGAAAAGGATGGGGGGGGGGGGGGGGGNGGGGGAGGAAGCCCTTCAGGCCATTCTACTTTTTCTCTTCAGAGCTTGAATGCAACCCGGACCTTCGGCCTTAAAACTGTCTATAGTTGTCGCCTTTGAACGCCGGTTAGGTAGGTCTCCGAAAGCCTCAGTTTAGTCGGAGTTGGCGTCTCGGATTGTCACGAGTCACCATTCCCTTACACCTCGCAAAATGCTCTTATACGACCAAGCGTCTCAAATAGCCTCTGCTGTTCAGTTCAGTTTTTACAACCATTAACCATGCTCTTTCGTGCGCCGGTTTTAGTTGCTGTCTCTTGATGCCCCGTTTGGATAAAAGAGCGAAATGAAGATTAGAATGTTGAAAACAAATTCAAGCAGAAGATGAAGAATTCATATGGAATGGTGTTGGGGGAGTAATGAGTGGATGCACGAGCGCCACTGTTTGCGACATCCAGCCATATCACTCTGTGTCTAACCATCGATACCCATCACCCCGAGGTTCCCAGCCAGGGAGCCTAGCGAGGCCTATTTGATCTAGTCTCCTGGTTAGGGTTTTCATAACCTTATGCCAGGTTTTCGTTTAGCCACCCTTGACCTTTTTCCAACCGCTACCTGCCTCGGCAAACATTGCTTGCCATGNAACCTATTTGGTGACATGCGTAACACATGCCCCAACCAACGTAATCTGTGGAGGTCGATCACTTGCTGCAGTGAACGACTGCGATTAACTAAGAATCTGCTCCTAACCTCAGCATTAATCGTCCGGTTACCCCACGAGACTCGTGCAATGCGACGTAGATCGCGGTGTTCAAACACCGACAATCCGTTGTTATCCTGTCCCTGTAGTGGCCAAGTCTCTGCATCGTGGAGCAGTATTGTCCGAACTGCTGCAGCATATACTCGACCCTCTGCTAGGAAGTCCTAATCACTGCCTTCCCGTGACGGAAACGTTTTCCCATTAAAGTGGGGGGACGAAAAGCCAACATCCGGGTTGGTGAACCATTGGCAGTTCACCCAGGGGAGTTGGCTAAAAACTCTGATTCCAAACGATCCAAGATGTGTACGAACCACACGCGCACCTTCCTGGTTGTGGCAGTGGTCACCGGCTCGATTGGGCATCAAGATGTATTGGGCACCTTGGACGTTTGGCCCCGTCCAAAGGGCGCATAATTCAATGAGCTGGACACCGGCCCCAATGGATTGCTAACCTTGAGCTCTGTCCTGTTGTCTTGAAGATCTGGTTTTCCAGCCAAAGGCTTCTGATCGGGATCCCGAGGTTATCCTCCTTTGATCAGGGCAACCGGGAAGTAACATGCCCATACAACCTACGTACACGTTCTTCAAATTTCTTTTTTGTTCACACGTTGTGGCACATTTGCTAGTTCTCTGTAATTGATTGTGTTAAATAAAATAAGCAGTTCTCATGGACGAATAATGGAGTTTGACAAAATGCACATTCTGTGGTGATGCAATGGTTCAATCGCAGTCACCTGTGGCTCGGGATTCGATCTCCGCCGCCCAACTTTCGTGGTAGACAGCCTTGCTTTCGTCTGATTCCATACTACGTCTAACCTAGAGGGGCGTTATATGGTTCACCGCTCCATCATCATCATCGTACAGCGAAATACAGGGAAGCGAGCTTCACTGATCGCTGCCCATTTCGCAATGCATATGGATTGGGGTTTGACGGACGTATACTGCTAGGGTGTCCGGTCACTCCAAGTCTCGTGGATGAGGTTCCCGGCTTCCATGACTGAACAGCAGGTCTTCCTGTCTATGGGGTTTACCTCACCTGATGTTCATCACACTAAGGTTTGCAATAAGAAAACTTCTGAATTGGTATGCAATTCACTGCGTCTTTTGCACTGTGAGCCTGAGTTTAACCCTGCAACTCTGCCTTGTTTCAGAGAGGTACTTCATCTTCTTACTTAATAGCGCATCTACTCCACTGAACCCGTGTTATATCCTCCTTTGCCTATCCTGTGTATCCATGTGTATCCAACAGGCTAACTAATCCTTTCAACTATATGATATTAATTGTAATACAAAAGAGGATCGTCTTTTGGAACGGTCTATTTTCCTTCTCTTTTGGATGCGCGTCATTTACGCCGGTTGTATCATTTTCAAATTGTACATTATCCCCGGTGGAATACTTACTTTCACCAATAAACCGGCTGTTGAATCGTTTCACTTTTAAATCTTATTCTTCTATTATATTTTACCAGAACACAATATGTGGGTTTCGGCCTGTGTTTAGACACCCTAACTTATTCGGTGTCAATTGAGACTTCTTTGAATTTCATAATAGCTATTAAAATATTTTGAAATTTATTCTTGATATTTCACTGACCAGAGGCTCCTGTTTTTTCTTCCTAGATTCAGTCATGTCCGCTCGTGCCAGAAAACAGAAGTCAGCCGAAACGGAGAAAAGCGACGGAAGTCCTCACAGCACTTCGACGTCAAAAGCTACGATCACTGTTGAGCGCAGTAGGCTATCCTCCGGGACACCAAGACAAAGTTTCTCCCGGGCTGAGCGTTCACACAGCCCCCGGAGTATTAGTCGCAATGAAGAAAAGGATGAACTTGCTCATCTGAATGACCGACTCGCTGGTTATATTGATTATGTCCGCAAGTTGGAGCTCGACAAAGAGCGTCTCACAAGGCGCATTCATTCAGTAACAGAGGAACGCATGGTACGTTGTTGTTGTCGCTAATTTGTCTTTTAGAGTAAAGTGGAGGAAGCTCGCAAAACATACGAAGATGAAATTCAAGCACTTCGGAATTTGGTGGATGACTTGGCAAAACAGAAGACGAAGGCTGAATTAGATGCCAAGCAGGCTAGGGACGATGCGAATGAAGCCAGATCCAAGCTGAATAAACGTGACCAAGAAATCCGAACTCTTCATCGCCGAATCGAAAGTTTGGAAAAAGAGTTGTCTAATTTCAAACAAGATCATGATCGCTATGCGGTAAAGACACTTTCTTAATTTTATATTAACAAAATAGCCACTTCTGTCGGATCATCACGCCTTGCAAAAGCGATTCGAGGAAGTGCAGCGTGATCTTGAGGCAGAAACTCTGCTGCGTACGGACCTTGAAAATAAAGTGTTGGGATTGAAGGAGCAGTTGGATTTCCGGACACGTCTATTTGACGAGGTATGTCTACTCTGTTTTGTTTGACCAATACCGTTTAGGAGCGGGAAAAGTTGGTTCAGCGAACTATGTACATCGAAGAAGAAGTTGAAGGCCGTAAGAAAGCCGAATATGAAAACCGTCTCGCAGACGAATTACGTGCCATCCGTGATCAAACCGCCAACGAACTTGAGGATTACAAAATTCAAATCGAAGAAACGTTCGAGGTTCGTTTTAACGCCACTGCGTTTTGGAGGATCTTTTTCCAAGCCAAATGTTCTGGTTTCAGTTTGTAGTTTCAAAAGTAGTTTTCAATTTTCGCCGAGGTCCGTGACTGGGAGTTTATCTGTGTAGTTTATAAGTATATACTTAGGCCCCACTACCTTGTGTGTCAGACTTTTGAGTCAAAGGCTCCGGTTAGGGTTCCCACAGAAAAACCCTCTGTGGTGTAGGCTACCGTGAAGTATATTAGGTCTTAAAAACTCATTTGGAAAGACCTCCATTTGTCTAATTGTTTTCCTGTCAGTCACGAATAATCTCAGATGTCTCCTGTCTGCGGTCGGATACCACTCAGCGTTTTACTAGTAAGATCAAACAACCAGTAGCTATAGGATTTTTGAAGCAAAAATTCCCTTTTCACTTGGTCGCGTTCAACGTCCGCACACTACCAGGTCGATCAACAAGCTGCCATCGCTGGAACCCTTGAAACTTTCAATTTAGATGTATGCTGTCTCCGAAATACGCATTCAAGACCCTACTTCAGTCATCTTGCTTTCTCCAGATCCAACCTCATCCTCACGCTTCACTCTCCGTGTGTTAGGTGATTCGACATCCGAAGCTCGCGGTGTTGCTGTTGTTGGGATTGCGCTAAGTACCAAGGCTGAGCGCTCGCTTCTTGACTGGATTCCAGTTAGTAGCCCACTGCGCTGTACTTCTCAACGGTTCAGAACGGGTCAACAGTTACAGAATGAAGCGTAGATGCTTGTTCGTCGTATCGGTGTATGCACCGACCGATTGTAGTACACCTGAAATCAAGGACGAATTCTACAAGGATCTTTCTCTATTACTCCAAGGTGCTCGATCAACGGACGTCGTAGTAGTCGCCAGAAACCTCAATACTCAAGTGCGATCCCTAGACGAATCAGAAACGCTTCTTGTCGGACCGCATGCAATCCCAGCCAACCGGACGGAACACGGAGATCATCTACTTCAACTCTGTCCCGACCACGGATTGTTCCTGCCAAGCACCAACTTTTCGCTCGAGAAGCGACACCGCCTTACATGAAAACCACCAACCACTTCACAGCGCTGGACCTAGATCGACCACATGGCCACTAGTTACCGTTGGAGGGGGTCGATTCAAGACTGCCGTTCTCACTGGTCAACACCTGTGGATACGGACCATGCTTTGCTACGAGCCAAATTCTCTTTACATCTGGCAAACAACCGCAAAAGCCACCGACAACGGATACCCACAGTTCAGTGATTGTTGCGAATCGGCCTTCGAAGCGAAACTCACCGATCGCCTGTCAGTTCAACCACCACCCGAAGGACTCAATGAACACTGGAAACAAATCAGGGAAGCCATGCAAATATCGATAAAAACAACCTCGGACCCTGGCACAGGCTCAGAACGCAAGCGATGGATCTCGTCGACATCAGCTGCCCTGCTGAACACCCACAGAACCCTTCCTCCCGATGCCGCGTATGACAGCGCACTCTCAAACGCCAGCTCATCGAGAGTCAGGAATAACCGCGAGAAGTGGTGGATAGAAAACTGTAAAGAGATAGAAATTGCGGCTATTGGTAATAGTCGCAATCTTCTCCGTCTAATTAGGAATACGAGCAAGTGAGGTAATTAATGAATCCGATGGCACGGTGATTCACGATCAGCAACGCCGTCTTGTTCGACTGTCTGAATACTTCGAGGCTCGGTTCAACTGGCCCCCATCGATATCTGACCTATTCCCCCCAACCTCGACTGGGCAAGTACTCGCAGTTGATGCCAGTCTTCCATCTGAAATGGAAGTGTCCCGGGAACTGAGTTATCTAAAAACACAAGACTTATGGCCCAAATGGGCTGTTCCCATCGGCGATTAAGGATGAAGTCTCAGCGTTAGTCTTGGAGTTGACAAAACTCCTGAGCTCAGTATGGGAGGGGGAACATGTTCCAACCGAATGGTGCGAATCGGTGATCATACCGATTTACAAGAAAGGTGACAGATCCCCCTATGAAAACCACAGAGGAGTTAGTTTAATCAACATCGTCTCTTAACTTCTCGCTGGAATCATACTCCATCGATTGTCGATTGTGAACGGTGTACGCGAGAGAACCAGGCTGGCTTTATACCTGGTCGACGTTGTATCGACCACATCTTCACTCTTCGCCAAACTCTGGAGCACCGACATTCCTTTCGTAGACCCACCATCTCTGTCTTCCAGGATCTGAAAGTGGCCTTCGACGCAGTCGACCGCTCTGGAGCTGTCTTTACCTGAAGGGTGTACCCGAGGAGTTTATTGCAATATCATGATCCCTTTATACTAATAGGCGAAGTCGAGTCCGAGCTTACGGCAGTTTTTCACCCGAGTCACCAAGGAAGGTGGTGTTCATCAGAGCTGCCCTCTTTCTCCGTTTTTATTTAATCTTGTCATAGACTCAATTCTTGAAACAGCCCTAGTCTCGTGCAGGGATAGCGGTATTGATTTACTTCCGGGTGGCAGACTATCTGATATATATGTAGACGATATTTTGATGCTAAGGGGAGATGCAGTTAATTGCAAGCTTTTCTGGATAGTTTGAGTGTTAGTGTTGCCATGTCCGGTATGCGTTTTGCGCCTTCAAAGTGTAAAATGTTGCTTCAAGATTGGGTTGATCCAGAACCCATACTCACTCTAACCGGGGAAGTAATAGAGCGGGTGGATAAGTTTTGTTACTTGGGCCGCTACATCTCATCCGGTGGACGCATCAGGGATGAAGCGTCAATTGACATTTGCCAACTTAAGACATTTGTGGTACCGTCGCGACATCCGGCTGTCTGTTAAGGGTCGCAGCAGTTCTGCTACAAGGCGCAGAAACTTGGCCATCAAGAAAACATGATGGTGATCGACTGTCGGTGTTTGAACACCGCTGTCTACGCGTCATTACATGAATCTTGTGGGGCAACAGAACGACCAGCGCTGAGGTTAGGAGCAGATTCTTAGTTAACCGTGGTCGTCCACTGGAAAAAGTGGTGCACAACGTTTGATGAGGCAGTTAGTGGGTGGAAAAAAGTCAGGGGTGGTCAAGCTCGCACCTGGTACGAAGGTGTGAACCATTGGCTGATTCACATTCTCTATTCGACTCTACTCTCAACTTTCCTGTCTTCTACTGTTCATCCCAACAAGCAACCAAAACCGGCGCACGAATATGCGTGGTTAATGGTTGTACAAACTGAAACTTATGTAACGGCGGTCATCCACTGTAGCCGTTGGTCGACCTCCGTAGATTGTGTTGGTTGGGGCGTGTTACCAGATAGATTATCACGGCGCATGTTCGTTGAGGCAGTTGATGAATGTAAAAAGTGAAGGGCGGTCATTTTACGACCTGGTGTGAGGGCATGAAAGCACTAACTCAAAGGCTTGGTAATGTATATCCCGTTTGACTTGTCGGGCGGCAACCTCGAGGTCAATGTAACTTACAGTTAGAGACACTGATGTGACTGAGTGGAGCTGATGCACCTCCTTAATGATGCAACCTATTTTCACTCATAGTATTCCAATCTTCCAACTCATTTTATCCAAATGGTTAACCAGATTGCCGCCCGAAGGTGCACGGTTTAAGCTTGCTAAAGCTGAACTCAACTGAACTACTTGCATCGTAGTTATGTTGATGTTTTAAAAGTGATATTGTCATCGTGTAAGGTATCACGTAAGTTTATTTTACTATGTTCTGTATGGTCTTCAAATTTTTAATTTTCCGACCCCCTGTGATTGCCTGCGAAGTACAGCTATCTACGTTTCGGATAAATAGACTGTAAAGCTTTTCGGGTTTTCATATGTGACTGTCTTGATAATTGTTGAACTGCTTTTGCCCTACGGTTTTTATGAAAGCCGTGGCCAGTAAAAGTTCATCAGATGATAGAGAACTAAAAACAATCGGTAGTGTAATTTTAGTTGACGACCTCGGCCGTATGGTGGTACTCTATACCATTTGACAAAGTTTGCTGTGTTTTGACGCATTCTGATAGAATAATAAGTAATCTTTCGGGTCTTCATCCATTCCTTGGATGTGTATTCCTTCCCGCTATCTTTGCAGTATGTTTTTCTTTCACAACTAAGCACTGTCCTTTTCTTTTCTTTACAAATGCAGAATAAGTTGGGTCAGTTGCGAACTTCGGCAGATGATGCCCATCGCCAACGCAGTGAATTGCTCATCGCTCGCAAACGTGCCGATGAATTGGCGCATGATCTCTCTAAGAAAATCGCGGAGGTTGAACTTCTCCAGCGTCGCGTGGATGAATTGCAACGTCAATTGGACCAGGAGCGTCGGGATCACGATGCCCAACTGAGTTTGCACCGTGAAGAAGTTCGTCGTCTAAAGGACGAATTGGAAGAGAGCTTCCGTGAATTCACTGAGCTCATGAATACCAAGATTGCTTTGGACCAAGAAATTCTAATGTACAGAAAAATGCTCGAAGGCGAGGAGAGCAGGTAAACCTTTCATATCCTACTGCAAGGGGATTAATGACCAAAATCATTTTGTTATGAACCGCAGACAGTGCACCAAATGAGAAACCGCTTGTCCATCTTGATGACAAAGCTTATTTTTGTTCGGGTATTTCATATGGCCGATGTGTTTGGCTGAACATTTCTAAAATTCTCTAACGAATCTAAGTAACATTTGTTTCATCTTGGGGGCTATACGATGTGCACTTCACTGCCCGTATATGTTAGCCATAATATTATCTACAGCTAATGTTTTTCAAGAAATTTGTGCACAAACGTAATGGTAACAACAGCTGAGTTTTGTCGGAATTAGACTTCATGTATGGGTAAATGATCATCATTGAATAAGTTGACTGACTGGGTTGCGTAGAACAGCTTTACTGAATAAACTCGGTGTCACGCCTTGAACCGCTAGGTATATATTGCACATATTAACTGTTTGTTTACAGAATCTACTCCTTAGTGTGGTAAATCCGTGGTCATTAGAAGCAAAATGTTATTTGTCAATCAGACCATATACATCCGTGTGTGATATAATGATGTTAATGCCGACCCCGGGCAACCTTAGAAGCTCTCCGACCTCGTGTTCATAGCGTACTGTGAAGCGTGTAACCTAAATTGATCTTAAATAAACCACTATTTGATGAAAAACTGAAAAGCTTCATTTTTTTACTTTTTCATTATTAGGTTTTCAGTGAGAACTTTAACATTTCGAAGTTAAAAAATTCTACGGTCATCTTGAGATGAGTAAAACTACGAGTCATTTCAACTGCAAACCATTTCTTCTTTCTTTTCAGGCTCAACCTCCATCCGGAGATTCGAGATTCGCCGTTCAACGTTCAAACGGGAAAACGAAGGCGTATGGATGATGACCTAGAAAGTGAAGAAACCAGTTCTGTTCTGCCTGGGGCTGCCTATGGGCCCAGCAAAGCACGATATGCCTA